ACCTAATTTAATCTCTATTTAATTTAGGCAGATAGTAAATTTTACTGAGAGCAGTGGGAGAAAACCAAAATGGTTACCATGTGGGTCGTAAAACCAAAGTAATGAGTTGAAACTCTCCGTCTTCCTGCAGACGTCTGCAGACTGTGACTAACACCTCATACCGACAATTTAATTCATTACTGATATAAAAACACTGATTATAGTTGCTTCTATAATTACTAAATGGAGAATGAAGTAGAAATCCCCGTCAGCAGCTACTTATTTCTATACTAACCCTCCAAAATAGCTTTTATTTTAAAGCAGAGCTGCGTCAGATAACACTGATGACACAACTGGGTTTATATTTATAAGTTCTTCTTTTAGTCTGACGAGATTATTCAACAACAGAAGAATTTGTGCTTTACATCAGGAAGCACCAGCTTTTCATAAGAAACAGGAAACACTGGAGCGCTGGTGGAAAAGACCACCTCCAGTGAAAATCCATTTTTTCCCTCATTAACATGCCGACATGGTGACACGTCATCAGCAAAACACCACAGCTGGAAAACACGGATTCAAACATTCAGATTGTTTTGTATGTAGCAAGCCTGAGAATCCAGTCTCACCTATGTGCTCTGTGGGAGCTGAATTAGCTTCAACACATCTTTTGTTGTTGTTGTACAACTGTTGTAGTCTGCAGGAGACCACCTGCCAGATTCTGTTGCAGACACGCACAGTAAATCATATCTGCGTATTCGGCACATACACAATACTGCCGAGCATGTAAACAATCGCCCCTCGCTATCGACTGTCTGTGCAGATGCAAATTTTGGTCTGCACTTGTGTCCGGAGAGATCTGTGCAGACTCTGACAGACTTGGGGAGATATTGCGAGCAACTGCATGCTCGTGGAAAGTATAATACAGTGTTTGGGCAGAGTAGAAGGCAAGCAGGTGTGCCTGAGCTGCATCGACTGGCAGAGACGTGGTTGGACTTCGTAGGTCGATACATTCTTGAGCAAGCAATCACATAGTTAGATCTGTGCCATCTCGAGGCAGTGACAGATTTTTTTACAAGGAAAAATATGAGGTGTGTCAGAACAGTTCCAGGACTGGTGTCACAAAAGATATATTTCAAATATATAAGAGGAAACAATCCCACGGGCCAGGTGGGGTGAGTAGGGAGGAGATGTTCTTCTCAGCCAGGAGCTGTGGGATGCTCAGGGCGCTGTGAGCAGGTTGTCATGGTGAAGCAGCCTCCACTAGTCCTGACACAACTCTGCCTCTTCTGGAGCAAAGCAAACGCTGCAGGATCTCTTTGTGCTGGTTGATGGTCTGAAGGGGAAAACTTGTAGTTTGGGTTTGAAATCTATCTTTTGTGACACCAGTCCTGGAACTTCTCTGACACACCTCATATATCAGCTTTAATGCATAAAAACAAGATGTTTGAGTGTTTAATCAATGAACAGAGAGAAGCTTCATATAGAAATGGAGGATACTCTTCATCATGGCATTTGATAAGTACATCAAGTATAGTTTCCTGTATTACGGTGCTACTACCTGGTGTCAATAAACACCTCGACAGGTGAACAAACCAGGCACTTAAAGTACTATTCAAGTATGGAAAACATTACAGGTGGCTGGTCAAGACTACACAGACTGAGACTGATGTATCTTGAAATGTTTTATTGTCTGTCTCTTGTGCTGTTTTGATGGAGTCTCTGAACTCAGAGGAAAACAGTGCAGGTGACGTGTGACTTACCCTGAACTGAACAAACTGAAGTTGTATGTATACGCCACCCTCAGCCCCCACCTAAAGCTATGTTACTTTACCACGATCACGTTAAACCTTGATTTCAGTTGCATGTGTTCCATAAATATTTGCAGAGGACCACAGAGGGGGAGCAATGCCCCTCACTCCTCCTCCACTGTTTAATGTAAAGACAGACAGATCAATATTTGAGGAGTCTGCTGCTTTTACAACTGCTTGTCGCAAATCATGTGAAAGGTTAAATGTGCTTGACATGTGTGCCGTACAGGAAGGACAGAGGGGCAGCGAGATTTAGGAATAAATTTACATTTTTTTTTTTTTTGCAAACATGCATCGACTTGAACTTCAGATCATTTCACATGAGGATGGTGTGATACCCCACCGGGTCTCCGAGTGCATAGGTGTTGTGTAGTCGGGTAACCGGAGAGCAGCAAATGAAAGGATGAAGTGTTCGTTAGAGCTAGTTAGAGCTGCTAATCAGGCTAACAGTAAGATAAATTTGATAAGCTGGGAAGGAGCTGCTTAGGCTTATTTTCTGAATTGTTTTCACACTTTTATAAAGTCAACACTGAACTTATGTGAATTTTTTTTTTCTTTGCAAATTATTCCAAGAAATAATTTATGTTTGCATCTCTCTGCAACATGTATGTGTTTCTATGGCGACAGTACGCCGTAACATGCTGCTCAAACAAGCAGTGAGGAGAAGTGGCACTACATGGCACCACTACAGAATACTCTTTGGTAATTGGCTGGAACAGGACTGTGCCCATAAACACCCCTGCTGGAAGTAAACAGTCCTGTCTCATCCCCGTGAAGCCGCCCTTCAGCTGAGTCCAAGCTTCAGCATGAGAGCAGCGGCACACTGGAGGATTATTAGTGGCCTCTAGTGGATCAGGGAAGAAAGAAAAAACACATGTAGTTTCTTACACAGTACTGAGATGTAATAAATTTAAATGTATGGCTAAATGCACACGACAAAAAGTGAAGATATTTGCATGTGGTGAAATCTGATTTATCATATGCATAGTTTAATTTAATTGTCCCTCATCCATGTGTAATGTCACCATTTAAAGTTTATTTCAGGTTCATTTCTATTTCATTTGAATATTAAGAGTGTCAAATACTCCTGCTTCCTGGTGAAAAATGTTAATTTTTTTTAGTATCATGTTATGGAAATATCATTATTTATGAAGGGAAACGGGGAATTTAAAACTGTAATGAAGCATATGTGGATCTAATTATGATTCAGTTGTTTCTTGAGTTCATAATTAATATTTAGAGAATTAAAAATAAAAAAAGAGACTGACAAGCTTGAGCTGGGATGATGGGAGACACTCAGCCACTGTTATCGTGCTTGTTTCATATTTTATTGGGGAGGACAAGGCCACATGTTGTAGAAATTAAAGGTGATGTATCCCCCACATCCACCCAAGAAATATATACATCCCAGTGAGGGTGAACAAGGTTAAGGGTCATCTGAGTCTTGCGTTTTCTTTTCATGCCGAACTAGTTTGTTACCCCGACGGTGTGCACATGCATGCTCATCGCTGCCTTGACATTTGAAATGATTTGCTCTGCATCAAATTAGTGCCAAAAATATGTCAAAGCGAACACGCAGCTCCTTTTCAGTGTTTTTCGCCTACATTACTCCAACAACAACAACAAGCCTGTGACCGTATTAAGTTGCAAACTGGCAACGGCAACAAAAGCAACCTCAGACTGCTTTATCACTGCCTCCAATCCCCCCCTCTGACTGCATTGTACTCACTCTGAGGTGGAGATAAACACTCCATGTGCTTATAGAAACAGGTGTCAGGCTTCAGGAAGACACACACACACACACACACACACACACATGGATACGCACACGGTTAATTATTTATCCACTCACTGAAATGCTGACATACACACCATCCTGCCGGTAGTGTCACTTTAGCCTGCACGAGAGAACTTAGACTACTGTCATAGGCGCTGATGGACGAGGCGTTCAGTGAGGCTGACCGAGAGGGCAAAGGGGGGAGAAATATGGAAAAAACAAATAAGGTTGTAACTGGATTAGCAGTGCTTGATTATGAAACGCAGCATTAGAGGTGATGGATTAAATACACTTGCTGCAGTGATGCTAGTGTCTGCAGGCTGTAATTAAAAGGAAATGTCCACCAAGGAGGTATGATGTCGATATTTGTGCATAAAAAGAAAAAAAAAATCAACACTGTATGTTTCTCTGAGGATTTCCAACACAACACATCGGCTACCTGTTGAATACAGATTTGATTTAAAGGGTCTTTTATTTGTTTCCAAAGCCATGCGTGGGTTGGTTTCCAACCGCTGCTGCCCTGCTCTGCCCCGAGGCCTGTTAGATCCATAAAACATCTGCTTTTAACTGTTTCACATGGAGACCAGTGTTTATCGCAGCAGCTCCAGAGCCGAGGAACAGCCGAGTAGTGCTCCTTCATTTACAGTTTTAAGAAAAATCACAAGGTGTTTTTAATGGATGGTGGTTGCTCTGAATGGTCTTAGTATTTCAGTATTTTGATCTGGCAAGTTGTTGGTCAGTTTTGTCTTGTTCATTAGTCATTTATATTTGATTTCTATTTGATTTTTACAAGTCTTGTTTCTGCAAGTTACCAAATCTGCCTGTTTTTTAACACGTTCAGCACCTCGGCCAACTCAAATGGTCCTAAAACCAGCTATAAACCTATTTGATTAAAAAAGAAGAAGAAGAAAAGATAAGAAAAAAGGGTATTTCATAAGAAGTCCTACTTTCTCAAGAACTGCTTTGGTTATAAAATGTATTAAATAATTGCTGTTTTAAATTGTATTTCTGCATCGTAGTAGATGTATGAGTTGCACTTGGTCTGCCCTCGTCTAAGTCTCGAGTTTTTCCCTCAAATGTGAACAGTTTATTTTAGATATTGCGCTTAAAATAGTCTGCAGTGATAATTTTCCACAGGACGCTGCTGCGACTGTTTCTTCGATGGAAGCGGCGAGTGTGGACGAATCCATTCACTCCGCGGGGGGAGCCGAAGCACTGCTCACAAACTACAAGTCAGGAACTCATCAATAAATGTGCAATTCAAAAGAAAAGCTACGTTTACCCTGGAATTTACTCACACTTTGTCTCGTAATAAACTGTGGTTAGCGTTGTGGCGGTCAGACGGTGTTGGTTTAGTTGCTTTCAGAGAGAAAAGGAAACCCCTCCGGAGTGATTTGGGCGGGTCGGATGAAAACCGAGCTGTGTGCCACATCTTCCACTGAATGATAAAGCCGCTGCACCGGGAACCGGAGGCAGGACCGACCCAGTAAGAACCGAGGCAGCACCAACACTTCCACGGTATTTTAGTCAAGCATTTTTTTTTCTTCTTGTTGTCAGTAAGTGTCGAGCATCTTAAATTCTATTTCGGTGGAGTTTCCAGAGCAAAGGAGGAGGTGCTGGGTGAAGTTAAGCTGCTCCTGACGCCATAAAGTGGGAAAAGTGGGCTTCAAACAAAGTGGACTTTTTAAAAAAATATTTTTTCTTTCCCCAACTTGGAGACTCACATTCAACTCCTAAATAAAGAGGTAAGTTTCTATGAGTTTGTGATAATGACTGTGAAGTCCAGTGAGCCTCTGTGGTTCTGGTCTGTGGTGGTTTCTCAGGACAGAGGAGGGTGTTGGATGGACTACACCCACAGCTCACTCACATCTCACCCACATCACACTGGAACGCACTCACAAGGTCACCCAGCAGCCTCAAAAACACACTTCTAGTCCTCCAAGTGGCCTGAAACAGGCAGTAAACTCATCTCTTTAATATAATTACAATATAAGAAAGGTTCACACTGAGAATAATGATAGTATATATGTATATGGACACTTACTGTAACAAACAATACACAATCAATACAATATTAATGTGATGGTGTAGTTGTCTGTGTGCGACATGATTGTTTATTAGGAATGAATTTGTCTTTATGTTCTTGTTGTTTCTTGCAAAACATTCCCCGAGTGTGTGACCTAAATAACAAGCAAACTTTCTAAAATGACGGCTTTGACTTTGGGTTTATATAATCACTGTAGGATTCTGCTGCAAACCAGTCAACGATATTGGAGGTTTTTTTTCTACCCTTAACCCTGTTCAGGACTTTTCGGGCTCTTTTGGACCCCAAGCTGTTTGGTTTAGGTGACAGGTTTTGAAGATTTTTTGTTTTAAATATAAAAAGAAGAGGGACGTTTGTCATGCATCAGGAACCAATCAACTTATCAGAAAATGTATTTAACATAAAGTCTATCATGAATACCAACAAATATTTTGCACATATTCTTTCTTGGGGTCCATTGGATCCACATCCACAACATGAAAGTCCTGAACAGGGTTAAGAAAAACTCTATAATGTAAGGCTCATTGTTATCGAGGTTCGCTGCAAATGGCAGTGAAGCTCCCGTACCTTTAATGTATTGGTTGGCCTGTCACAAACAATATGGTTTTTCTTTTACATAAGGCAGAAGAAGATTCGTTGGGAAATTTAGAAATGGCGTCAACACACAGTTCGTCCCGCAGAGCATCGCCGACGTCGTTGTTTATTATTGTGTGGTGTTGTTCCTGCAGCACATGTAGCAGAGCCGAGCAGACACCGGTGCAGAGTCGAGCCTTGTCTTCGTACTAAGTGGCTAACTAGTTTGGTAAATGACCCCATTATCCTCCCTAATCAATATAACTGTAACATATATACAAACACCACTGGCCCATATATCGATGATCCACGTTCCAAAAGTCCTGCCACATACGATGCTTTACCGTCCCACTCATCTCAACCGCTACTTCACACCATCGTGCCGGTTTTAAACGAAAACATTTCACAGTTTTTATAACAAGGCTGAAGCCAACATGTGATGCATCCAGAATTAAAGAACCCACTCGGCCGTTGTTCAGCCAGTACGTGGGCTTCTTCTTACAAACTCCACCATGAAATAAAAATAATGATTGTTGCAGTGGTGAACTTTTGCTCACAAGCCGTTCAGTGTGTGCAGTAACACTGTACGCAGTCATTAGTGGGACGCACAGGGGAAGATTAAACAGCAAACCAACAGCATCTATCTGAAATGCACGCACACATAAAAAAAAAAAATGTTCTGTTGAGTCTCAATATATCTCCTGCCCTCCGTGTGCCCCAGATTGATAGCTACACTGCCTCCCTCTCATAAGCTGCAGCTCTACTATCTTGTTGCCTTGACTACTGGTGTGTCAGGGGACTTCATCCTGATCCACAGCATGATTTTCTCTGACACGAGTTCAGAGAGACTAGCAGCGCTGAAAGTGAGAACAACTGGAGAGCTCATTTTCTTTTTTTTCCCCTCCCCGTGCCCGGGGCCACCTCCTCGTCCACCTGAAGGTCCGAGCTACCGGCGGCACTCGGTGCTTAAGGCTCCAGCGCTGCTCTGCTCATCCGCCGCACAGCAGGCTGCACGCACCACTAAGATGGGAAGTGTGCTTGCTCTCCGTGCACTCAACCGTATCAGTTTGTTTGAATTTCATTCCGTTTGCAAGAAGCACAATGCACGGAGCATGAAAAACGCTCTGCCCGTCGCGTTTGTGCCGAGTTAACTGTGAGAATGTGACACCTCTGGCGTAGCAAAAAAATCAGAAGACTGATTAACACTCTCTGTTCTAAGGAAGGGTTTTCTTTTGATGAATCTGCCAAGTTCTACTATATTTATTCGTTAATCAGTTAGATAGTTGTTACAGCTTCTACGTTGTGAACGGTTATATTTTTAGGCCTTGTTGAAGCCTTGGTGGCCAATCAGAATCCAGAAAAAAAAGAGGGGTATTTACCAGTTCCAGTTGGCCACCAAGGCGGAAATCATTTGTGTGAACTGATTCTGATGTTGCTGTTCCTCATTATGGTGGAAACTATACGTTTATGTGCAAACATGCAAACAGTCCTGTGAGCAGCGTTGTTAGCACCAGTAATGTCCATCTGAGTCTAGTGACGTAAAGAAAATGGGGTTTTAGTGCAAACGAAGGCCAGAACAAATGGAAGATTTAAAAATTACTGGACAGCACTTCAGAAAACTAATCAAAATTCTCATTTTAGTTAAATAATTGAACAGTATTGAGTTGTTTCTTCTCCTTGGCTGCATATTTGCTGATTTCTCTTCACATTTAGTCAAAGGTTATGATGGATTTCTTTTTATTTCTTCCGTCTCACTAACTGGTGCACCATCATAATGAGCTCAGACGCACCGATCTCCGTGTACTTGTGTTGCTGCCCAACTCCCAACACGTGCACACGAGTGTTGACGTTCATTCGAACGTGCTCATCCTCCGCCTTCCCCCTTTGTTTTAGACTTTCTTCTCCGCTGTGCGTGAAGTAACGAGCATCTGGGAAAAGAATAAAGTTTGACAAAACATTACACAGGAAATGAGGTGAGAACAGCAAACAGCAGCGAAGCTGGTCGGAGGTTTGCAGGAACCGGCGGTGTAGCCGTGGGGAGGGCGACGCATGCAGCACTGGCGCTTGTGTGAAACAGTCTCATTAGGGAAGGAACTCACTGGAAAAAGTGGACTGTGCAGAACAGGGACGGCTATGGGGGTTGGGGACAAGGCGGGAGACTGTTGCTGTGTAATTGAGGGGAATTTCAAACACCGAATGTGGAATGGCCTTCTCGAGGGACTGTTGTGTATCAAGCAACGTTCACAGACTGCTCACAAACTTTCTCTGAAACTCCGGCAGCCGAGGCAGGGAGGACGTGACTTTCTTTGCGGATTTAGTTTTAGGGGATGCAGCTATTTTTGACTTCATTGCAAAATACATTTCAGCTTTAACAGCTTTAAAAAAAAAAAAAAAAGGAACCAGCATTGCCTCAGCTGTGAAAACGTATAAAAGCTCCTGTGACGTCTCAAACCTGTGTGCAGAAGTGGGAATTGCTTACATTTTATGAGCACAAATGGAGCAGCACACAGCTAACTGCTGCGTGATGTCCTGAGGCGAACAGTCGCTGCACTGAGGACTTACAGCAATAAATTCAGCTGTTTATTTGCAGCAGTCGTCCATATGTGGGTAAAATATCAGTATTCATACTTTAGACGTGCAAAGAAACAAATGCCCAAAGACCAAACTACTTTTTTAAAAATAGAGAAGTCACAAAAAGCATAACATTGCAGCAGCTTGAATCATGTTTCAGCTTTAGGGAGTGTGTTTTCAACCCTCTGTCTTATGTAAGTGTGTTTGTGTTACATTAACCACACTACACACTGTTTTGCTGTCTGTCTCTTCTCGGAGGTAAACCTTTAATTTAGCTTCAAAGCTTCTTCAAACCTCAGGGCATCACTTTTTTTTTATTTTTCCGACGTGGAATTCTGTCGGGCTTCATGTGGCTTTGTGTGTTAGAGGGAATAAATAGCAACGCCCATACTTATGTCTGCTCCAGCTCAGCCTGCACACTGAGCTGTCCTGGAAAAGTCCATGTGACCCAGAGCTGAGGAGGTGCTGCTGCTGCTTCCTCATCCTGTTGTGTGTTAGAGCGGAAGGACGATGGTCAGGCCTGCAGGCCAGCGTGTGATTTATGCCGTGGTCCGGTTAAAACACAGGCAGCAAACATGATACCACACTCTCTAAATGCAGTGGGTCCCTGCTGCTCTGTAATGTCCACCACCCTCCTGCAGAGCTGGATGAGACATCACAAAGTCCTCCATCTGGCCGTGTGTCCTGCAGTAGAAGACGCTGAACCAAACTGTTCAGCCACACCAGCAGCAATGTTGGTCTTCTGGTCACTTTGGTCACAATCGAATGGTTTTGCATGAAGTTTTGTCCATCGTGCCCAGAGGATGATGACTTTGCTGATCCCCTGACTCTCTAGCACCACCAAGAGGTTTGTGGTCTTCAGGGAAAATTCTGGACAACAATAGGATGGATGGGCACCAAAATGGTTCACGTGTTCACGTTCCCCTCAGAATAAATAACTTTTGACAGCTCATTAGCGCCATCGTCAGGTTAAAATTTCCTGGAAGCATGATTGGTCAGGCACAGTAATGAGTCCTCTTTTTTGACATAAATCTATGAATGTTCCTGTTTCTGAAGATTTGATGAGCAAAACTGTGTGTTATGCTTGAGTTAATGAAACCTAAATTGTGATTTACCATTGGAGACGCCAAAAAATTCCTCAATGCAAAGAAAACCCTGCCCTAAAGTGTGATGGATTTTTATTGTTAGCATTTCAAACATTGATGGAACGACTGTGTCGTTTGGTAAATTCTGGATTTCATAATGTAAAATGCACGAAGAAGTAAACTGGAGCAGGATCCCCCGACTCTCTAGCACCACCAAGAGGTTTGTGGTCTTCAGGGAAAAGTCTGGACAACAGTTGGATGGATGGGCACCAAAATGGTTCACGTGTTCACGTTCCCCTCTCAGAATAAATAACTTTTGACAATTCATTAGCGCCATCATCAGGTAAAAATTTCCAAGTTTGATTCATGAACAAATGCGTGTAAAACGGGGCTGCAACAGGCGATCGTTAGCATGTTTTTTCAATTAGTTGTTTGACCTAAAAAATGGTGAACAACGTCGGTTGGTGTTTCAGAAAGCCAAAGATGACGTCCTCAAATGTCTTGTGCTCAAACTGATTAATCAATATAAAGAATATTTGGCAATTAGTGAAATAGTTGCCACGTAATTGATTGATTGTCTTATTGTTGCAGCTCAGTGGCTTTTAGCAAAGCTGTTGAAAACAAGTTTGGCCTCATTGGTGAACACAGTAAATTGTTTTTTGGGAATGGAGGGATGATTGGTTATGCCCTTAACAGTAATGAGTCTTCTTTTTTTGACATAAATCTGTGAATTTTCCTGTTGTTTTTGAAGATTTGATGTTATGCTTGAGTTAAAACCTAAATCGCGATTTACCAAAGAAAACCGTGAACAGAATGATTGTGTCGTTCAGTAAATTCCTGATTTTATAATGCAAAAAAAAGAAGTAAACCGGAGCACGGAGTAAGTTATTTCAATGCTCACCTATTTCTTTTCCATCCATGAGCCTGAGCAGTGCAGAGTTTGCGTCACCGGCTGCTCCTCGAACCAGCCTGCCTCTCATGTTACTCTGTGATTCATAAAACTGCAGGAAATTACACCTGTGTGACAATTACGAGAAACGAGAGCGTCCGTGCGCAGAAAAGACCTCATGCAAATTCCCAGCGCTCTCATTTGTTCTTCCACAGATAGAAGCGTTCTGTTGCCATTAAGACGGCAGCGCTGGGATCTCAGTAATTGAAAGAAAGAGGACACGGGGATAATACATCTCTCTCTCTGTCCCGTAAATTCATTATAGGTAACACAGAGGAGTGGAGGTGTTATTCACAAGGATTATTATGTAATTGAACTGCTGGTATTAGCAAAGCGGCTCACGTAGCATGGCTGGAAATAGTTCTTCTTGTATGTGTCATACTTTTTTTCCATTCTTTCTTCTTCCCTTCCCCCGCACATCTCTCTTTCTGTCCCTCCCACTCACACTTTACCAGATACATGAAAAAGATTAGCTCAGGCTTTGGCCATTTTTCCCCCCAAAATTTTCCAGAAATGTTGTTTCGATCTTTTGTTTTATTTTATATGACAGTTGGCTTTTTTAATCTACTTGATCCGTGGCTTTTCCTCATTCTGTCACCCTAGCCAACATGAAATTTTAGCTGGTTAATGCAATAAACATTTACTCACAAGAACACACATGAATTCTTTTCCGTTGACCCGAAACAGATGTTTTCTCTCTGCGACCTTTTCGCCTGCTAACCCACACATGTTTGCGTCTGCTCCGTGTCTCGTCCGATAGTTGTTATGCCGTTTATTATGGTTTTATTCTGGATGCGTTGTGTTTATGCGCCCTCATATCCCCAGTCGTGAATACCCCCGCATACATGAATAAACAGATTTTGCAGAACATAACCATGGAAACGGAATTCAGACAAAACAGGGAAACCAGAGGTGAATAGGCCCAGGTGGTCAAACGCATTAGTGTCCTTGTTTGCATTGGTATGTTTGTGCTCGTCTTTAATCCCTATATGAATACCGGCCGCTTAAAATCAATCAGAATATTCATTTGCCCGTGAAGGCGGGGATTAAAATCGAGGTGGATGCCTGGCCTTCTCAGTGACAACAGTCAGTATCAGCCTGACCTTTTAGAAAGTGGCTTTATTGAGAATTACAATGCCCCAGGACACTTGTCCCTCTATCGTGCAGTGAAGGGTCGATATATTATCACCGTGCCAGAGGATTAATACTGTATCCACGGAGACCAGGCCACCCCCCCCACCACACACACACATGCAGGCACACACACACACTCACATAGCGCCCTGATGACATCTTATCTCTTGTTTTTTTTTTATTCCCTGTGTATGGACACCATCTCAACCCTCCAGATTCTCTTCCTCAGTGTTGTTGCCTGAGCAGCATCTCCAGCACATGTTTTATGATGAACCGCTGCAGAAAAACTGGGAGGAATCATTGAACGCATGAATCTTTAATGATGTTCACACAAGGATGTTAATGAGGGTTGTTGGTCCCCCGTAGGAGCAGAGGAAGCCGAGCAGCCGGCGTCGTGGAAAGTAGAAGCGCAGGGAGAGCGGAGGAGTGAAACCGAGAAGGTCCAAACACCAGCCCAGCCACCTGGAAGCCGTCATGGGGAAACAGAACAGCAAGCTCCGGCCCGAGGTCCTGAACGACCTGAGGGAGAACACAGAGTTCACCGACCACGAGCTGCAGGAGTGGTACCGCGGCTTCCTGAAGGACTGCCCCACCGGCCACCTGACCGTGGAGGAGTTCAAGAAGATCTACGCCAACTTCTTCCCCTACGGAGACGCCTCCAAGTTCGCCGAGCACGTCTTTCGCACGTTCGACACCAACGGCGACGCCACCATCGACTTCAGGGAGTTCATCATCGCCCTGAGCGTGACGTCTCGCGGCGGGCTGGAGCAGAAGCTGCGCTGGGCCTTCAGCATGTACGACCTGGACGGGAACGGGTATATCAGCCGGGCGGAGATGCTGGAGATAGTTCAGGTGAGGACGTTTTGTGATCGCTGTGACTCATGTTTTTCATGCATGTATGGGCTCTTTATGTGAGGCTCTGAGTCAGGATGTGCATCAGCTGAGAGATAAAGGAGGAGGTTCTGGTCCTACCGCTGCTTTTCATGCAGCTTTTAAAACGTATATTAGACGGCGACGTGTGAGGTGAGGAAGTGTGAGGAATGCAAATATAGAAACATTGTTTTATTCCATCACAGTTTTGTTTGTCGGCATGTCCAGGGTGTCCTCTGCCTTCACCCTGAGTCATCTGGGATAGACTCTAGTGAGGATTAGGCGGTGTATAGATGATGGATGGATGCACAGTTTTATTTGTACTAAAGGTCCTAACTGAACTAAACTGAAAAGGAATCTGTGTTTGAGCTCTTTGGGAGTTAGCAGCAATGTAGTTACACAGCAAAACCAGAATTGTGACTAAATTAAATCCCTAAATTTTAGTTTAATGCTTTAATTGGCTGTAAAATAGCAGAAAACACACTTTCCCTAAGAACCGAGCCCAGACTGGTGGTTGCATTCTCGGAGTCTTGCCCCGGTTGACTGTGCCTCCTGCGTTATCTAGAAATACCGAGAGCTGGTGGAAGCTTTGTCCTTAAAGATATTTATTGTCACATATGCCAAACAAAGCAGCAAACCTCCGTATCTGCACAGCTGGAACTTATTGTTGTTGCTCGATATAAACATATACGGATAATAATAGTTGACTTTCCGTCGACTAATCAATTCAAGCTCCTCGTGCTCAGTGTGTTTTCTGTTAATGACTGCTCTGAGGTACAGTCATCATTCACGGGTCTTAAATCATGAGATATTTCCACCTCCCTCCCATCATGGCTGCAGGCTGCCCTTTCTGTTTTCCTTATCGCTGCGGCTATATTTACTCTTCCAATATGGTGAGCTGAGCAGCCTGCAGGGCCATATCAATATTGGCTCAGTCCGTTGTGTTTGTGGATACAAATGAATGTGCAAAAAAACAAAAAAAAAACACACGAACGCATCAGTACTTCTGTTGCCGTAGAACGCGTCTGTTTTTCAGTCAGACATCTTCACCTGATATAAAAGCTTTAAATTGTAGCCGTGCATCTGGAAAACGTGTTCAGAACAAATCACCGCGAGTGGAACAGCGTGATCTCTCGCTGTCAGAGCGCCGCCGTTATCAGGCAGCGGCAGCAGGAAAGAGGTCGGAGCATTCAGACAACACGTAAAAACTGTGTCAGGTGGGAACAGTTATTTTTCATCTTCGCTGCCTGAAAGCTTCACACGAGACAGCCGGCACAATCAATACGCACATGGCAGCAATCATTATTACCCTCCTCTGTAGGCAATTTACAAGATGGTGTCATCAGTGATGAAGATGCCTGAGGATGAATCGACACCGGAGAAGAGGACGGATAAGATCTTCAGGCAAATGGACATCGACAACGATGGTGAGACTGCTGTGTGTTGTGAATGTTCTCCTGTCGCCACCTGTCACTATAAATAGTACAAGATGTTGCTTTGGAGAGAAATAGATGGAAGTCCAGAAGTACTTTGTTTAATTAGTGCGCCAGTCATCCATATACCAGGGCTTCAAGGGAAGAATAAGTGTATGAGGATGGTCACACGGGGATAGACAGACATCGAGTCTTTGAATAGAAACAGTCGCATCAAAAAGCAAGTTTCATGAAAGATGAGTTACGTAAGAGTCCTTTTACTGTAACACGGAACACTTTGGAGAGGCAAGATGAAAGCTGCAGAGAGAGAAACAGGATATCGTACAACAACACGGACACAGCTCACAGAAACCTTTGTGGTTGGATCTCAGCCTGCTGATTCACTCCGGTGCCGGTGGGCTGACATCCAGTGCAGAGGTGATGTCACGGCCATGTGATGGGTGCCGAGCGCTTCCCAGGCCTCGGCGCTCTGGATGCATTCGACATGTGACGGCGTGCTGAGATATTTAGGGCTGTTCAGACGGTTTGTTTTGAAGCAGAAGGTTCCGAAAGTCTGAAGGTCAGACTGAAGTTTTCTAACATCACATGATCCCACAGACGAGGCCGACAGCTGCCACAGCTGGACGGTAAATCCCCCAAAACTACTTCCACTGATGGTACGTGACAGGAGGGTCGTGGTCACTCTGAGCAAAGTAGTGTCATGTTCTACCCGTTTATTATAGATCAGAGGTAGATTATTATTATTATTATTATTATTATTATTATTATTAT